TGGACACACCTGGATGTGGATATAGCTGGGCACAGACACACCAGGGTGTGGCATCACCTGGGCACGGACACAGGTGGGCATGGACACACCTGGATGTGGACACACCTGGGCACGGACACACCAGGGTGTGGCATCACCTGGGCATGGACACAGCTGGGCATGGATACGTGTGTTTGTGTGTGTTCCTTTATGTGCACGGACACACCTGGGCTGGGACACATCTGGACATGGACACACCTGGGCATGGACACGTGTGTGTGTGTGTTCCTTTATTTGCACGGACACACCTGGGCATGGACACACCAGGGTGTAGAAACACCTGGGTGTGGACGCACCTGGGCATGGACATATGTGTGTGTGTGTGTGTGTGTGTGTGTGTGTGTTCCTTCATGTGCATGGACTCACCTGGGCATGGACACGTGTGTGTGTGTGTGTGTTCCTTCATGTGCACAGACACACCTGTGCATGGACACACCTGTGCAAGGACACGTGTGTGTGTGTGTGTGTGTGTGTGTGTGTGTGTGTGTGTGTGTTCCTTTCTGTGCCCAGACACTCCTGTGTGTCTACATGTGCACGGACACCCCTGTGCTCACACACACGTGCGGGAGCCAGGCCGGGCAGGGTCAGGCCGGCAGTGCCGGTCCGGGGGTGCCGCGGGCTGTGGACACACCTGGGGCGCAGGTGAGACCCCCAAACAGCCCCCCCGGGGTTGGGCGTGGCCCGCCCTGCTCTGACCACGCCCCCAAACAGCTCTGACCACGCCCCCCGGCTTTGGCCACGCCCCCCCGCCTAGAGCCGTCGGAGGTGGGCGCGCGAAGGGGGCGGGGCCGGAGCGGGTCGGGGGCGTGGTTAACACCGGGCGTGGAGGAGGCGGGGCCAAGGTAGATCATGGGCGGAGCCGGAGCGCGCGGGGGCGTGGCTAGCGCCCTTTGGGGCGGGGTCAAACACGGTTGGGGGCGTGGTTAAACCCTGCCGGGGGCGTGATCGACTCCATTCGGGGCGTGGCCAGTGCCGGGAGCTGGGGGCGTGGCCAGTGCTGTGGGGGCGTGGCCAGAGAATACGGGGCGCGGCTAAGTGCCCGTTGTGGGCGTGGCCTGGCCGTTGTGGGCGTGGCCGGGGCGGTGTCGCTCTCGCTGCGGCAGCGGCGACTCCGAGCGGGGCCCGGCGCGGCCCTGCCCCGCTTTTCCCGGCTCTTCCCCGCCCGTTCCCGGCCGTTCCCCCGGCTCCCCCCGGCCCGGCCATGGCGCTGCTGCGGGCGGCCGCGCTGCCGGCCGAGGGCGGCCCGGCCTGGCTGCCCACGCACGTCCAGGTGACGGTGGTGCGGGCCCGCGGGCTGCGCTGCAAGGGCGGCACCGGCAAAGGCAAAGCGGGCGGCAGCGACGCGTACACCGTGATCCAGCTGGGCCGCGAGAAGTACAGCACCTCGGTGGCCGAGAAGAGCGGCGGCAGCCCCGAGTGGAGGGAGGAATGCGCCTTCGAGCTGCCCCCCCGAGCCCGGGCCCCGCGCCGGGCTGGTGCTCACCGTGATGCACCGGGCGCTGGTGGGCATGGACCGATTCCTGGGACAGGCCGTGGTGCCCCTGGAGCCCGCCCGGCAGCGCGGGAGGGAGCCCGACGAGCGGTGAGTGCGGCCGGGGGGGCACAGCCGGGGGGGGTATAGGGTGGCCCTGGGTGGGTGTCCTGGGGTCACTGGCTACCCCAGGGTGTGTGTCATGGGGTCCTTGTGCACCCCAGGGTGGTGTCACGGCACCCCTGGATACCCCTGGATGGATGTCGTGAGATCCTTGTGCACCCCAGGGTGTGTGTTGTGGGGTCCTTGTGTATCCCAGGGTGGTGTCACGGCACCCCTGGATCTCCCAGGGTGGGTGTCATGGGGTCCTTGTTCACCCCAGGGTGTGTGTCGTGGGGTCCCTGGTACCCCATTGGTGTCACGGAGTCCCTGTGCTCGCCAGGATGGGCACATGGAATCCCTGTGTACCCCGGGATGGGTGTCATGGGGTCCCTGTGTGTCCCAGGGTGGTGTCATGGCATCCCTGGATACTCCAGGATGGGTGTCGTGGGGTCCTTGTGTGCCCTGGGCAGGTGTCTTGGGGTCCCTGTGCTCCCCAGGACGGGCGTCTTGGGGTCCCTGGGTACCTCAGGATGGGCATCAGGAGGCCACTGTGTGCCCTGGATGGGTGTCAGGGGGTCACTGTGTGTCCCAGGGTGGACACATGGAATCCCTGCATGCCATGGGATGGCTGTCATTGGATCACTGTGTGGCCCAGGATGGGCGTTGTGGGGTCCCTGGGTACCCCAGGGTGGGTGCCCTGGGGTCCCTGTGTGCCCCAGGATGGGTGCTGGAGGAGGGAGGGCAGCACAGGACCCATGGACACCCTAAGGAGGGTGTCACAGGGATTAGGGTGTGATGTGGTCCAGGGAAGGCCTTTCCAAGAGGTCATCTGCCATCCATGGGCTGTGCATCCACTGGGAAAGGTTGTCACTGGGAAGGGTGTCCCAGAGGGTGGGGTGGGGTCTGTGTGTCACCCAGGAAGGACATTGCAGGACACGGGGTGTCACAGGGCCCGTGGATGCTCCAGGAAGGACGTTGTGGGGGATGTAGGACATCACGTGTGCTCCAGGAAGGATGTGGTGGAGGATGGGATGGCTCAGGGCCCCTCCATCCCCCCTGGAAGGGAGACAAGGCACTGCAGGATCCATCCTCCCCCCGGGCAGGGGGGTCCAGGGGACGAGATGCCCCAAGGTCCCTCTGCATCCCGTGAGGGTTTTCCAGGGATCTGTCTCCTGGGAAGCTGTGCCATGGCTGCAGGTCGTGGTTTGTCCCCCCCCAGCTCCGTGGGGCCATCGGTGTCACCTCCCAGTTTGGGGATCTGCACCCCAGCCCTGTGCTGCCTCCAGCATAAATCCCTGTTTGTGTGTGAATTCCTCGTCTTCCTCCTTCCCCCAGAAGGATTTAAAACAATCATAACGTTTCCGAGTCTTTGCCAAGCACAGAAATGCAGGAATGTGGCCGAAATTCCTTTAGGGAAGAAGTTTTTGGGGGCTTTGTTCCGCGAGGACCTGGCTGGGCTGTGCCTCCGGGAGTGTCCCCCCTGCTCCCTGGCCCCCCGGATCCCGGGAATTCAGCTGGATTGCTGCCCGAAGCTGCGGGCTTGGAGAGGGACCTCCCTCACCCCCCTACCCGGGGCAGCGGAGGGAGTGGGATCGGAGTGAAAAGGGGCTGGAAAAAACTTTTCCCGTGGAGAAAACGCGGCTCCGCAGCCCTTGGAGATTCCCGGTTTGCCCTAAAATGGGAGCGTGGGGAAGGAGGAGCGGTGACTAACCCCGGAGATGGTGTCTGGGTGTTTCCCCGCCGGCGTTTATTTTGCTTTCCTTAGCAAAATGCCTGGAGAGCGGGCGGTGCTGGGGCTGGATCGGGATTCTTGGGGCCCTAATTGAAACCAGGACGGCTTCGGAGAGAGCCACCGGCCTGGCGGGAGAGACGAGTGGTTCTGGCACGGGGGGGGATGTGGGAGAACTCCCCATCCGTCTTTCCTGTGGTTTTGGGAATGGAGCTGGGATAGGAGCTGGGAGCTCGAGGAAAGCCACGCTCCCAGTGGGAAAAGCTTACGGAGCTGTGCAAAGCAGGGGCCCCAAAGTTCGGGAGGCTGAGCCCATGGACTCGTCTCAAAGGTCTCCAAGGGCGTCAGGGGCTGTTAATCCCGTGGGAGCAACGTCCAGCGTGTCACAGCTCCTGGTTATCCTGCATTGGATTTGGGCTGTGAGGTTGCAGATCCCCAGGAATTTTCGAAAAGGCTCCAGGGAGACCTTTCAGCATCTTCGAGTTCCCAAAGAGGCTCCAAGAGAGCTGGAGAGGGACTTGGGACAAGGGATGGAGGGACAGGACACAGAGAATGGCTTCCCACTGCCAGAGGGCAGGGATGGATGGGATATTGGGAAGGAATTGTTGGCTGTGAGGGTGATGAGGCCCTGGCACAGGTTGCCCAGATTCCTGGAAGTGTCCAAGGCCAGGTTGGACAGGGCTTGGAGCAACCTGTGATAGTGGAAGGTGTCCCTGCCCATGGCAGGGGGTTGGAACTGGATGATTTTTATGGTCCCTTCCAAACCAACCCATTCCACGATTCTCGAATTGGCTCTCTGTCTCCCTCCCTTCCTGCAGCTTCGCTTGCATAAGGAAAACTTACTTCCCCTTGCAGCATTCGGGATCACAGAGAGCTTTGAAGGCTCTTTATCTTCACCCTTGGCCCCCGAGGATGGAAGTGAGCACGGAAAACACGGAGAGCTCTCACCCTGTGCCAGGAGCATCTCTCTGCTCGCTCCAAGCCCGGAGCTGGAAGGTGTCCCCAGAGTGGGTGACAACTTTACAGTGTGGAAGAAGCTGCACTTTTTTTTTTTTTTTTTTTTTTTTTGGAGAGGACTCCCAAGGGCTGGAGCTTGTCCAGCCAGGTGGGAGAAGGATCGTGGGGAGTCCGGAAGCCACCGGAGCTTGCAAACAACTTTTGTTTAGGAGGAAATTTTTTTAGTCCCAGATGAAAAAAGAGCAAAACAAACAGAGGCTCCCACCCTCCTGGCCCAGGCCTGTGCCCTGGAGATAACCAGGGGGGGTGGGAGTTGGGGCTGTGCCAGGCGCTGCTTTTTGGGATCCCGTCTCCGGCCCTCACTCCTGGGCACAAACCCGCTGCCAGCTGGGATGGGATCCTACCTAAAAAAGGCCTCCATTGTCAGTGTGTTGACCTTGCTCTCGTTTTCCTGCTGATTTTTTATTGCATGGAAACTTCACCGGTGGATAATTATGATCCTTGTTTTCGGCTCGGTGGAAAATGTTCCGTCAAAACTTGGACTCTTCTCCGGGAACGCGCCGGTGGCCGGGGGTGTTGATGAGCTGCTTTGTCCGGCTCAGTTCTCGGCCGTTTCAGTGTTTTGCCGGAAGAAAATCAACCCCTGGAGTTGCTCAAGAGCAGCCTGAGAGCTCCCGTGGCCTTTTTGGGCATCCCAAGGCTTATCCCACACTCTGGCAGCTCCAGGGATTGGGCTTGGCAGGCAGAGCAGGCGCTGAGGATCCCATCGTTTCTCCCTTTCCACTTGAGCCTTCCCACATCCCAAAAACCCTGTGCCTGGGCAGGATGCTCCTGGTCCTCACCTCCCAGGACCTGGTCCTTGCAGCTCTCTGTGCTGCCTCATTTTTTGGGAAGTCAAAAAAACATGGCAGGTGGTGATTCCCTCCCAAAGCAGGGTCCAGCCCAGAAGAAGAGGGATTTTTGGGGTACTCACAAGGCAGCTGTTGCTTCTGTTTCCTGACATCCAGGAAATGCTCTTGGAGTCCCCCACAGGGTCTCCTCCTGCTTTCCCTGTGGTGTGGCAGCAAGACAGGGAGAGTCACCTCCATGTCCACAACATCAGCAGGAATCTGGGGAGGCTGGAAGTGCATCCAGCAAAAAACAAGCTTCCATCTGACACCCATCAGGCTGTGTTTTCATAAAGTCATGGAATGGTTTGGACTGGAAGGGACCTTAAAGATCATCTTGTTCCAGACCCTGCCATGGGCAGGGACACCTTCCACTAGCCCAGGTTGCTCCAAGCCCCATCCTATCTGGCCTTGGACACTTCAGGGATCCAGGGGCAGCCACAGCTTCTCTGGGCAACCTGTGCCAGGGCCTTCCCACCCTCCCAGCCAACAATTCCTTCCCAATATCCCATCTATCCCTGCCCTCTGGCAGTGGGAAGCCATTCCCCCTTGTCCTGTCCCTCTACCCCTTGTCCCAGGTCCCTCTCCAAGGCACTTGGAGACCTTTTCCCCTTGGCCAAGGTGTCACATCCCTTGGGTGGGGTCTCAGCACTGAGGGGGTCAGGAGGTACCTGGAAACACCTGCAGGGTTGGACCCCGGATCTCACTGCGTGGGGACCCAAAATATCCTTGATTTTACTGCCTGGGCTGTGGTGGGAAGTAGCAGTGGGCATCCAAAGCTTCCTGGGCTGGCTGAAGAAAACCCTAACTGTCATTCCTTCCTCTCTCCCTGCTTGGAAATACCATTTCCATTTGCCTGCTGTCCCTAAGGCCTCCCAGCCCCTCGGAAATGGGAAAGGTTGACGCCGTGAGTCTGCTGGCCATGCAAACACCGGGCTGCTGGAGCAAAATCCGGGGCTTTCCAGCACTGGGATCTCGTGTTGGAGGGGATGATAAGTGTGGCAGGAGTCCTCATTCCTGGCTCTGGTGTTTTCCTGCAGTGTCTTGCAGTCATTCTCTGGTTGCTGCCTCGGATCGGGAGCGACGGCAGCGCGTGGCCGTCGGCGTCTCTGCGACAGGGAAGTTGTCTTGGGGAGTTGTTCCCCCTGCAAAATTAGCTCAGCTCTGAGTTCCCCAAAGCCCTTCCGTGCTTCACTTCACTTCCCTTTACTTGTTCCTGTTCCTCCCCAGCTGTGGAGGGGGAGCCTGGGCTTGTGTGGAGCCGCAGCATCTCCACCCTGGCAGCAGGAATGGGACAATCTCCTCCCGCTCCATCAGCAAAGGAGTTTCCCTCTGGGTGCTGAACTTCTCCAGCCGAGGTCCTTGAGGCCACCAGGGCTTTTCCTGCTCCGTGCCATGATGGAGTTCTTTTGGGCTGAGGCTCAGTGGAAAAGACA